GGGGTCGGCGAACACGTCCCGGAGCGAGCTGCCCCCGCCGGACTGCTGCTGCTTCACCGTCTTCAGAATGGCCGCGAACTCACCCCGAACCTATACCCCCCCCCCCTCTCCAGTCGGCCTCCGTCCTTCCCTCGGCCACAGCAGCGGGGGTTGTTTGGTATGTTTGGTATTCCTCTGTCTGTATCCCGCAGGACAGAGAGAGGAGAAGGCAGGAGAGACGCCAGGAAGGCGGCATATTATGCCATCAAGTGATTACCTCTTATCTTTGGTGTTGTTGATGTCATCAAGCCGCGCCACCCACAAATGCTTGGACCAGGTGGATAATGATTAGCACGTTCACCAATAGGTAAGTGGTCACGCGCTCCCAGGTTAAATCATGAACCAATCAGTGGGCCGCATTCAGCGTGTGCACTTTTGTGCTGTGCCGCACGCAGCAGTGCGAGCGGGGTGGCGTACCCAGTCGGGGCACGCAGGCTGCCAGATATTTAAGTTTGAAAACGAACAATTATTGCGCATGGCTCACCTTAATGTCCGCCGCTACCGAAATATTCGCAGGTCACTCCAGCAGCTCGCACCGTCGTCCTACATCGCGCTCCCGCACCCCGCATGGCCACCCCGCATCGCCTCGCCGTTCACCCGAGGGGGGGGGGGGGCATACGCGGCGGCAGCAGCAGCCCCAACAAGGTCAACCCCTCTCTCTGTTTTGAATCCCCATCGGAAAACGATTTCTGTGAGCATGTGTGTGTGTGTGTGTATTTTTTTCAAACCGATGCGGTGCACCCCCTGCCCTCGCACTCCACTACCACAGAGCTGCGCCCAGCCCCGCCCCGCCCCGCCCCGCCACGCCACGCCACGCCACGCCACGCCACATCGCGCTTCGCCGCCCCCAGCGCCGCCGTGCTGCACTGTGCTGCGCCGAGCGCTCGGCACATTGTGCGGCAGGGGCGCACGTTGGGGTGCCTATGCAGCGGGCGCGCTGGCTGCACCGCGAGAGCGAGAGGCATATACTCTCTCTTTCCGACCCAGCTCTGCCCTTCTCCTTCCTTCTCACTCAATTATCAGGGCCAGCCTTTTGGAGAGCGACAAGGACAGTCGATATTATCGTCTCGCGTGTGTTCGCGAACGCGACCCCCCGACCTACCGCGGGCGGGCTCGCTGGGCCGGAGCCGGAGGCCCTCCTC